TATATTTTTTTAAATTTTTTAATCAAGCAACTGACTAAATTATCTAATATCTATCTTTCCTTACTAAAACAGCCCATAAATTGATTGTTTTTTATGTTGTACAATTTATGTTTAATATATTTTTTATTCCATTAGTCACTTACCATAATAGTTTTGAATACGGTCCACTCCAGAAGCGAATCATCCTGCTTCGGGGGTGGAGACAGATGGAGGCTCACAGTGCAGTGACACCTTGAGGCGCTGTTGGCAAACTATAGAAATCACATAAACGGCACCGGGCTCCTCCCACTCCTCCGCCTGCCTCCTCCCCAGCTGCCCGGAAATACCCTGGTCCGGGTCCTGGCCCGCATTCCCACATTCGGGGGACGAAAAAAGTATGGCACAAGTGCGGGAAAACGGGGAACACCAAGAAGATCAGTGGCAGCCCACATGCAATGGCTGGTGGAAAAAGAAAAAGAAACGCCAGTAAATGCAACGTAAAAATGCATAAATCCGTGGGATTTAAAGATTTCGCCGGAATTTGTGATTTCTCGCATTCGCCTTTTATTTTTGCACGTTTCGCTTGCGGCTGCTGGTTTGCTTTTTGTTTTTAGTGTCGCCACGCCACGCCCTCCCTTTTTTTTTTTTTTTTTTTTTGGGGCGTGACTGGATTTACGCGCTGCCTGTGTGCCGGTGTGTAAGGATGTGCCGGCTTCAGAGCGAGAGACGAGTCCTTCTGGCATTCCCAATTCCCCGCTTTGACTGTTTAACACGCGCAATCAGCAACGCTACAAATTTCATATGACATTTTAAGTTGTTTTGCATTGCCGCGCCCCCAAAACGCCAAAGCGTTTCAGCGATTTGCTTTCAGCGGCAAAAATCCTCGACAGCGCTTTGTGCATTGCATTTCCCTGACTTTGGGCCACAATATTTCCACGCCCGATTTACCGCTGCTTCCCCCCTGCTTCACTTTGTTCCACTTTCCATATACTATATATTTTTTGTTTCGGCAAAAGCTCAAATGCAGATTTTCAGATTCATTGTTGCTTATTGCGTGTGGCGCATTGCGAGTTTTACGTTACTGATGATTGCTATTGCTGGTGGCAGGCAGCATTATCCGTGCCCAGGAGCCAGCCGCCATGTAAGTGGATTAATTAGTTGGAAAATAAGCTGCCAAAACAAGAACTGCGACTCTAATGGCAGATTCGTGTCTGTATTCCAATAAATTTTAAAATAAATTCCAACTAACGTGGACGTCTCGGGGGCATAGAGCATCAATAGCAATTTATAGACTGCCGAGTTTTTATTTACTGGTGCCAGTAGCTAGCCCATTAATTGGTTTCAGGTTTCATTTATTGGACTTTAATACGATAGAAAACGTAAGGGTAGGTATATATTCAATATATACATAGGCAAGGTTTTGTATATTAAATATATATATATACTATATTTACACCTTTGGATTTTTAAATATTTTTAATATTTTTATACCCTAGCAGAGTAATAGTCATAAGTTTGCAATGCAGTAAAGGAGACATTACCGATTCTGTAAGGTGTACATTTTCTTGATCAACATCAACAGCCGAGTTGATCTAGCCATGTCCATCTGTCCGTTTCTACGCTGATTAAATTTTAAGCTGTAAATCTTTAACTGTAAAACTATAAATGTATGTATACATTTTTTTTTGTTCAGCATATACATATATTAATAATTTCTTTTGTGTTGGGTATTTAAAATCCAAAATCCAAGACTATTTTATACGATTTAAAGAATATGTTTTTAATATATAAAAGTATATATATTCTGTATCCATCTTTTGTTAGTTTTTACTTTCTTTCTTTTTATTATTTTGCCTCTAGTAACTTTGGAACTTTAGATACGGTTAATAACTTTATTTAACTAATGTTCAATGTTAAAGTATGTAAAATTCTAGATCTAAGTAAAAATAATTTAATTTTTTTGGGCAGGCACACTTTCGGATGTCCAGCAATTTATCCCTCTATAACATTTGTGATTTAATGAACCGTTGATTTGGGAAATTCACCATTGGCAACGCACATATTTACAATCTCCCCTCGCTATATCCCTCTTTCTGGCCCATCTGTCTGCTGTCCCGCTTTGACTTTTGTGCTATGCGTTTTTGAACAGTTTTGCACTGTGACAGCGCTCAAACGAGAGTAAGAAACTGGGAAAAATTATATCATGTTGTGTACAAATTTGATCTCAAAAGCAATAAAATTATGTAAAAATATTGTGAAGAATATATATATATATAAAATATTTCAAAGTCTTAATACGATCTAATCAAAAAAAATTATGAGGAGCTTATTTTGAAACATTGCAAATGTACTGAACTTTTTAGCTATGTAACGTAAAAAAAAAAACAACTAAAAAATGAACAATAAGCATTTTAAAATATATTTTTTGGTGTCTCTTTTGAGAAATTAAAATTAAGCAACTGTTTTTTTAGAATTTGAGATCAAATTAGATGATACTTTTTAAGGTTTAATAGATTATTATTTATTTATAAGTTATTAATATTTATATATTATTTATAGATTGCTGAAAATAATCAAACCAAGAGAACATAATCTTTAAAAGAAAAGTTATGTATGTGTTATAAAAACTATATAACTATATTAAGAGCTTTGAATAACACTATATTTAATGAAAATATTATGTTTATTAAGTTTTTATTAAGTTACAGTAATTATAAATATTCAAAACAGAATAGTAAAATTAAAGTAGCGTCCTCGAATGTTGCTAACAATTCTTAAACTTCATCGCGTTCAATAATTGTAACGAAAAGAAAGTTTTCCCAAAACCCCGATTTTTTTCTATGTGTGATGAAAATGTGAAGCGGGAGAAATTCAGACAGAGCAGCACGAAATTATTTAACATGTAAATCAAGGCAGAGGCGCAGAGGCAGTGGCAGTGGCAGTGGCAGAGGCGAAAAATCTAACAGAGCTCAGTGCGAAACTTTTTTAATTTCAAAGCAAATAGCGGAGGGACGGCGAACCAGGTTGGGAGTGGGTGGTGGGGGAGAGGAGTAGGAGTTTTGGGTCAGTCGGATAGAGGAGGGCGTGGCGCTGTTGCGGATTATGAAACGGCGGCGGCGGCAGTGGCAAAATCGCGATGATTATAGTCACGTACTTGTCGCCCCGCCCCCAGCCGCCCAGGCTTGTAATTACACATGTGCGAGCTTGGTACGTATGTGAGTGTGCGTGTGTGTGGGTGTGTGTATAGGTTGGCAAATATTGACGCTCAACTTTTATTTACGCACACAAATGTTCAAGTTTCCAACAAAAGATAAATATGAAGTATTCTAAATCGTTGCCATGCGAAGCTCGTAGTCCTATGGAGCACTCCACCCCGCTGCCCCTCCGGATCAGTCCCGCGTATCGCCAGCTCGGCACTCTGTGCCATTTACTCATTTAACTGACAGTTAAAATTACAAACGCTTATCATGTACCAGAATCATATCATACGGAATAATTTATTATGCCCAACGCTTAATGTAATTCCCGAGCAGCGAAATTTTCGCTTCACATGCGGATGAGTGCGGCGACTCGGAGGATGTGTTAGGAAGGAGCAGGATGTGTGTGAATAGACTGGAGAGGGGGAAGAGTCCTGCCGACGACTGGGGTGCCAGAGTATCTGTGTGTGTGCTCGCCGGTTAACTGACTGGTTTTGTCTTTGAGATAGATGGAATAAAGTGCGCAACATACAAAATGAATATGTGTGCGCACATACATAGTTTTATTTGCTCAGCTTGCCTTCTTTCATTTGAAACCCTCGCGTAATAGACATCGCCCCAGACGCATACATACATCCTGTATACGTATAAAAAGGACACTCAAAAAAAAAAAGGAATGAACTTTGTCCATTAAAAAAATAATTGTCTGGCTTCCTTTATATAAAGAAGTTTATTTTTGAATCAAAATAAAATATCTAAAATGTAATTAGTATCTTTCCTTAGTCAAAAGAAAAACAAAAACTGAATGAATTGTTTAAAATCTTGACAAATTCTTAATATTAAAGATTAATAAAATATAATACATAAAATTTAATAAATATCTATTTTGAGCCTAAAAAGTGTATTTTATTATAGTAAGACTCCCTTAACCCAGTGGCCAGTGACCGTATTTTGACAGATATATATTATAGATACAATTGGTATATTTATCTCCAAGTGTATGCTCGTGTGTGTGCCCTGGGTTTATGCTCTGCACCCTGAGGTTAATTAAGATTTTGCCATGCATTTGTTTGAACAAATGGTGTTTGTGCTCGGAGAAGTGTGCGAATCCAGCCGAGTCAGCGAAATGAAAAAGTTTTATTAGTTGTAATCCCTAATTAAATTAAAACTGTTCCCTCTAATTAAATGCGGGCTGAATGCGTGACATTTGATGAATGTTGAATAAGATTATTAGCGAGGCCCAGCACATTCATTATCTGTATATTGGTGAGGTAATTTAAAAGGTTTTTGGGGGAAGGTCTTAGGAAATGCTGTCACTGGGATACCCCGGGGGATAAGTGCGTATTAACGCCTTAATTATGATGCGGACTTCGTAACACAATTAACGTACTTGGGCATTTTAAAGTAACTGAAATTTAATAAAATATGCTACATCCATTTTGTAAGGAACTACATATCTGCATATAATAGTTGTATTTAATTTATATATTTATTAATTTTCTGTATTACCCAGTATGTCCTGATATATAAGCTGATTTTTGTGTCTGCATAAGCATTGCAGTTGCAATAAATTGTTTAATTATATAATGATATGCTTCCACTGAGCCATTAATAATTTGTTATTAATTCAATTTGGTTCGGTGTTGTTGTTCGGTGGAATTATTAATTAATTTATTATTATTAGTTATTGAATAAACATGAACGTTAAACAATTAATGCACTGAGCTCACAAGTCATATTAAATGGACATCAATGCTAATATAAAAGTTCTCCTAAACAGAAACTAAAATATATATATTTTTTTCAATAAAAAATAAACACAAATTTGATTAATAACACGAAAACATTTAATAATACAAATTAAGAACGAATATAAATTTAAAATAGCCATTGCCGTACATCGAACCAGCTAGGAACATAAATTCTGACGCGTGGACACACCTATGACCATAGCGTAACCGGGCTTAAAGGGATCCAGGATCACCATTTCCATGGGCTCCAGCTGCTGGAGCATCAGGCGTTCGCTCTCGGCTTCAATGGCATCCATGAGGCACACTTTGCTATCGATACTCGGTCCGTGCAGGAAGGCCACAAAGTGTCCTCCGGGCGCCAGGAAGTGGCGGGCATTCAGCATCAAGGAACGCACTTGGTCCGCCTGCGGCAACTCGCAGAAAATTACGTCGATGCCGGCGGGAACCTGGCGGCAGTACTTGTACGGCATTGTGGCATCCTCGATAATGGGCACGATATTGGGCCTATGACTGGCCAGAGCCATCAGCTGGCGTCCTGACCAAATGCCCTGCTCCACGGCATACACCATACCCGTTTCACCGACAATATCCGAGACGTGAGTCACCGAGTGCCCGAAGCCTGCCCCCAAATAGAGCACCTTGGCACCACTATGCAGGTGCAGATCGTTCACACCGCTCATGATTCCGGCGGCAAGCTTTGACTGAAACGGCGACCAGGACCGGAACTCGCAGCGCTTGCCCCTAAAGTCCGCCATGATCCGCTGCTCGCCGTAGTCATCCGAGCTGGAGCTCGTGTTGCGGGTAAGCAATTGGATGGCATCGACGCTATTTCGGTACAGGAAAACGCCACTGTGGCGATGCGGCCCAATGCTTTTCATGCTGGCAATGGACTCTACGCCCTCCACCTTATCCTCCCGGCCCTGACTCGAATCCCTACCAGGTCCTGGACCCTGCCCCATAGCTGACTGTATGGAAGCTGCTTCGCCGAAATCTTTGGCATTGCGATAGGAACTCCTGCCGGAGTTTCGTCCGGAGCTCTTGTTGGTAGGTTTCGAGGACAGACCCATGGAAGGTCTCGAAGAGGGTTTCAAAATGGATTTCGAAATGGGTTTTAATGAGGGCTTTGTTGGGACTTTTGAAGTGATCTTGGTGCTTGGCTTCGGCACAGCCTTGGGGGATAGTTTGACGAAAGGCTTGCCGGAGGTATTGGCCGGCGTATTCGAAGGTGAGTTCCTCCATGCAGCTACTCCTACACTCACCTTGCCGCGGCGCCGCTTGCCCATCGCGCTTAGGTGCTAGTCTCGCTCACCGGATCAGATGGGTTGAGCAACTTTGAATGGTTTTCTGGGTGAAGCAAAAAGTTATACTAATTTTTGTTGTTATAAAATTACATTTTTGACGGCAAACCGAACGTACAAATTGTTATTGTCTTGTGTTTATATTATCTTCTCAAAGAACTGAAATACATTTCAAAGAGTCATTCTCTTTATGCCTAAATATCCCATCGGATGGGGGTAATCGCAATAAGCGACGTTTTCCATTACTGAATATGCATAAATGGTAATCATTATAAATTATATTCATAACTCACCCCAGAGGCCGACTTTTTATGCGAATAATAATTAATTTTATTCGCCGCCAGCGAAATACTCTGGAGAAATGCACAGGGCGCAAGGAAAGGGCTGGGCACGGGAGGGGCAAAGGTCACTGGGGGGTCCAGTCGATATGCCGCGCGTGGGAAGTGTAGCCGCAAATGCTGCACATAATTTAACAAAGTGAACTGTACCGCGCCAGCAACAACATCTGGGCAATAATAATGGCCCAGAACACGAACGAAACAAGACCAAGGAACAGAAACAACAACCGGCCCGGCAACATTTCGACTTCATTTTGTTGTGGTTTTTCTTTTTGGCTCACTGCCCCTCTCTTTCTGGCAATGTACATAAAACTTTTCGGGCCACTACAATTTTTAATGCACTCTCTGACATTGGTTAAGGGGCCAAGGGGGGGCATTCTGGCGAACAAGCAAATGAAACTCAAGTGCATGTAGCACTGCCCTGGCCAAGTGGTGCGGCGTAAAAAAGGACAAAAAAAAAACAAATGTTTAGTCCAAGATCGACTTTCGTAATGCTCTTTTTTGGTTTTTATTTTTGTAAAATTCCCAGTAAAGTTATTTTAAAGTGCTTAAAAGTGTGAAATATTGTCTTAATGATGTTTTAAAAATATATGGGGATTTTTAATAAAAACCAATAAGCTCACCCGTTACCTAAGCTCTCGCTTCTTCTCATCTCGTTGTCTTTGCACGTTGTTATCGCTGCCACTCGCTGCTTTTGATCTTCGTTTAACCTCTCGCCCTTAATTTGTGATTTTCCCAATTTGAATATATATAAAAATATTTTTATGCTTAAGTTTGCCCTTGTAACTATAACCAAAATTATTGTAATACCCTTCCGTAGAGTAGAAAAGCAAACCGACGACGAAAACATAACAAAACAAAAAAAATTGCAACAAAAATGAAAGAGAAGGAATGAAATAAAACAGGCACAAGAAAGACCAAAACGAAAACAATAATAATACACCAGGGGGCGTGGGTGTGAGGCGGGAAAAACTCAGATTTTTAATAAACTTGCCGCGGCTCCTTGCTCGCCGGTCGCCTTTCTCCTTCCGAATTTCGCTGCATACTTTTGGGCGCAGCGACAATAGTCGCATTATTGTTGCCGCAGTGGCTGCTTATTTACGAGTATTTGCCTAGGAATGCGGCGAGCGTCTTGCCAAGTGGCTGAAACCCCTCAAAAAAAAGGAAACCAACTCCGCCTGCCCCTCTCATCTACATAATGAGCCATCATCCCCCGCCGAATGCCAGACGATGGCAGTTCATGAAAAATCAAGAGCCAAGAAGTTTTAGCCACCCTCACCGCAGATCCGCCAAAACTTTGGTCCAATGTAAATTTCGCCTGATCATGTTTGGAGTTTATTTGGGGGAAAAGACTAGAGGGAAGCTCCTGGAACTCTAGGATGGAGACAGGCCAGTCCTCGGCCACCTACACGACACGTCGGCTGCAACTCCATTAACCCTCCGGGAGCTGGGATGACACCACAGGCCCTTATGTCAGACCCAACCAAGCAGTTGTGCTTGCATGACACGGAATTAAGTGACCCAGAAGAAGGGTATTTGCTTTATATTACATTTATTTTTGGCTGCCACATTAAAACAGAGTTTATGGAAGTCAACACTGCGTATGAGTAATGCTCTTTAAAGCCAATAAAAACGTTTTAAACCATTTTAAGAAACTGGGAGAACAATTTATTTATATATTCACGTAAATATTTCTATATTTTCTGTATATTTCATATATTTCTTGTCCTTAGAAACATGAATTTATTAAGAATAAGCTTTTATTCACTTACATTTTATTACAATTAAGAATTGTTTTTACTACCTTCAGGTACTACTTTTCGGTTCAACAACTTTTGATATTTTATTGTAAACCCCTGGCACCTTATGTCCCCGTATCACATGGCCATCAGCTGTGTGTGCTGCCCTGCCATAGCTTGCTTAACGTGGCCAGAACGTGATGGCTGGGTGGCAGGGATGCAACGCCGTTGGGAATGCATTTTTAAAATACTCGCGCGCATTTTCGCAAATGGCAACAAACGGCGCCAAGTTTAGCAGCTGCGCTGCCTTCGGGCCCTGTAAAATGCAAAATCCAAATGCCCTGCTCCCTTGTTCACCAGCATCTCCCATCTCCCATCGCCTGGGCTGGCATGGCTTTTGGCATAACATTTTTAGCATATTTGTTGTAGTCTAAACACGTGACAAGTGTGCATGTGTGTGTGTGTGTGTGCTGAGAGGGCCATTAGTCCCTTGGTCATGCGCCGGGTACGGAAAACTCACGTGCCATCTACGGATATGCAGCTATTGCCGAAAAATAAAATAAAAACACAAAAAACTTTACCGCAAGAGCGTCGCCGGCGACAACAACGGGAATATATGAGAATGGCCTTTGGCCGAGGGGAAATCGCTGCGGTCATACATTTCCCATTGCATCGGCATACTTCTCGGCCCACATTTTAATCAATTTTTCAGGCATTTAAGTGCGCTGCATTCGAGGGTCTCCGCAGGGAAAACACATCCTGAGGTGGGTAAGAACTTTATAATAGTATAACTTTTACATTATTGATATTTTAAATAACAGTTTTTTTTAATATATTGTAATAAACCCTGCCTGATCAGTAATACTAATTTTAATTAATAGATTAAGCAAGCTTTTATTAGAGACAGAATAATTGTCCAAGACCTAAAACATTTTTAGAAATTCTACGACTTTATTACCATGACCCATGACACTGACTCCCAGATAACACACTCTTCCTCTAGGTTATTTTGAATTCCCAAAGAACGAAAGGCATAAGCGGATTGACGGGTCACATTCCGTGAAAGTTTACGAGCTCTCCTCGTGACCTAGCACAAATCCCTGTGGACAACGGGCGACAATAATGCCTGAAATTAAATAAATATGCTCGAATATTTTCAGTTTATGGCAATGTAAGTTGGTGGCAAAAGTACGCGCCATATATTCGATAAATACTTGAATATTAAATCAGCTTAATGCGAACGAACAGGGCTTGATAGTGCGGCTGGTGGAGGAGGGGCGCGGCACTCCACCTAGGCAGCCCTCATTGAGCTCATTAAGCCCATAAGCTTTATTGATTTTTAACAAGCTCTCCCAGTGGCCGTCCAGTGATGTCAATTTACAAAAATTAATTATTGCCAGCCGAGCAGAGTGGAAAATGCATTTGAATTGATTTGAGTTGATTTTATTTTTAACACAATTTCATTTAACCATTTAACCAGCAGCCATTAAGAGCAATTCGAGTGCATTATAGACTGTATGGGATTTTTTAAATATATTTTTAAAATCCCATTAAAATTTAAATACAATTTCTTAAAAAGAAAATTATTTAAAATATTTATATTTAAATTTAAAATTTAAGCTTAAGCATTTTATTGTTCATCTGTTAGTTTTGTGTGTGTTGTTTTTTCCCCATCAATATAACAGAAGCACAATAAACCACAAGCCAACATTAACATCAGCCCGACTGTCAGTGACAGAAGCTGATGGCAGCAGCTGAGGCAGGCACCAAAGATAACCTCCGATTTGGCCTTGCCAGGAGCAGCAGGAACAGCAGCTGCAGCTGCTGCGAGTGACTGATAACTGCAGACTTCGCCACTCTGTCCCTCTTTAACTGCCTTTTTGGAAACACAACAAATGAAATCGATAAGAAACTAAGCGGCTTGCCGGCGAAATTCCATTTCTTTTCGAGCAGAGAAACAGCAATTGCAGCTGCGGCTTAAGCCGCTAGATGCAGGCTCCTGGCTCCTGGTGGGATGCATTCCGCCATTCCGCCATGTCCGCTGGCCAAAATGCGGCCATCAGCGACAAAGACTGGCATGTGGCTAATAGGATTTGGCCTGGCTGGCAAATGTAGTTTTCAATTGTCTACTCCGCTGCACAAGGCCGCAGAGAGTTAATGCCACACTAAGCAGCCAAACTGTGGACTTAAGCGAGCGATTTAGCTGAGAAAGGTTGGGGTTTCAGTAAGCGTTTTAAACCAGAACTAGATTTTTAAAGAATTTACTAAAGAACTGGCCCACAGTAATTGTGGTTTTCTTTTAATAAGTGTTACTTATGAGATTTACATTTTATTTCATATTAAAATTATCTATGTAAACCACATTTTAAGTTTATGACATTTTTAGCAGGCTAAACTGTTTACTTTTAAGTTTCTTGTATTTGTTTATAATAATAAAACTTTACCAGAATTTCTTTTTAATAGTTCCACGTTTCTAACATAGCATTGCCTAACATTTTCTGTTATTCTTGCCAGGACTAAAACATTATGTTAGTGCCCTGAAAAAAGTCTCCACTCTGTTGTTTTAACAGAAAAATACCTTAACAGCAACCACAAAGCTACAAAGTAACAGGAGCAGCATCCCATGATTTATGGGAGACAAGAGAGCATCCAAGAGAGACGCCGCGCCCAAAGACAAACACTCTCTTCAGTGCTACATCTCCGGTTGGTATTTTCTCTTCAAAACAGCGGCTTTTCCGAGGAAAAATTCAGAGTACAGACCACGAAGCTGCGCCGCCGAAGGACCCATCGACCACGGCATCAAAGAGTTGCTCCGGTTCCGTGAAGGAATCCCGAGTGCCGAGGCCCAGACTCCAAATGCCGGAGTCAGTTTCACGGCAACTCTGGTGCGGAGCGGTACGAAGGGAGACGAGTTACCGAGCGAAGCGGTACGGTGAAGTTTTGCCAACAAAAGAAAAGCAGAAACCGAAGCGCGAAACATTAGTAAAAAATATTCAAGAATGTTAAAGCCTTGAAAAAATATCTCAAAATTAACGCACACCCACACCGACCGCACTGGAATTAAGCCCATATGCAAATCGAGGTAAAACTAGTGCCAAATGCATTGGCAGGAAACCATAAATATTTCAAGGCTCGTGTGTAGATTTTAGACAGCCAGAGTGTGTGCAAGAGAGACTCTACATGTGTGTGTGTGTACGTGTGTCATTTAAGCCAGTCAATGAAATGTTTGTTAATTATGTATGTGTTTACATTACATTGCCATTAAGTAATTAACTCAGCTCCGAGCAGAGCTGTTTAAGTCACTATCTCTGGCGAGTGTGTGTGTGTGTGAGCTTCATTTAGGGGAATCTGTGTGTGTGTGTGTGAGTTTGAGTGCTTGACATTGTCTCTGTCGATGGGAAACATGTTGCGTATACGCCATGTTAATGCACAACAAATTGAGAGCAAATTGATATGCCAAACTAGTCGAAAGGCAATTGCAATTGCAACTGCAAAGGCTAATCGAACTGGAGCCAGTGGAGAGCCAATCGACATCAATTTAAACATATATTTTCCATATAATTGTAAGGACATTGCCTCGGGAAATGGCTTCAACACAAAGGCCCATGTCTAATTGCATAAGCGAGGACTGCTCTACGGAATTTCCATTGTTTCACAACTGTGAAAAGAATTTTGTGCATTTGCCTTTGCCTTTGATTCAATTCCATATTCCATGTCATGCACATGTTAAATGGCATTTCCTGCTCCGGGAATTGCCAATCATATTTCTATCCAAATATTTTTATTGGCTCCCTGTATGCTTACAAGCTGACATCGATGGCTCTGTGAGATCATGTCAATCAACAATTTAAATTGCATCGAAACAATTCAATTAGCAAGTATTCAAACTTGTCTACGGCTCGAAACAATGCTAGTTGGCAACGATTTCGTTTGCTTACTCAACCAAAACAAAAGATAAAGCGCTATGGTCAAAATAAAACAACCAAAAATAGATTCCATTATTCAAAGAAAAGATATTTTTGTGAATGGTTTTCATTTAATTAAAAAATAAGTAAACCTACATGCTGTTTTAATTGATAAGCAGTCTTTACCTTGTGAGACTCAATATTAAATATAAGCTTTAAGGTTAAAAGAGATTGTTAAGAAATGAGAATAATTCAATCTTAGTTAATGGTAATTATCTCCTGATCTTTATCCCACATCCCCTCAAGCTTTATTTGCTCTCCTTGAATATCCACATCATTTATTTATAAACACATCAATTTAATTTTAGCCATTATAATCAAATATTTAAGCTATTCACTTTGCTTCTTGCTACTTCCTTCCTTTAGCCATTCCTTGCTTCCTGTCCTGTCCAATCACAATTGTAATTTGTTCATTCAAACTCCTCTGAATGTAACGAATATTTTTAGTAGCAAGCAGACCAGCTTCTCTTACCCTGCCTGCCTGCCTGTCTCAGTCTGTCCTTTTTTTTTTTAAAGTAAAAAAAAAAACGCCGTTCCGCAGCGAAAACTTTGCCGCGGTAATTTTAATAAACGCGTCAATGAAACCAAAACAATGACGACAGCATCAGCAGCAGTAACAACAACATTAACGAGGGGAAGCCCACAAAAAAGAAGCCACAATTTGATTAGAGCATTAAAGGACTTTGTGCCTGAAGCGTCCTGCCGAGGTCAGGCCACGATGCTGCCCGTACGTCCGTCTGCTTCCCAGGCTCGAGCTCAGCCCTTGAGATCCCGCCAGCAATGGGAATTTTTTGGCTTTTGTGGCAGACAAAGTTGTCTGTAAAATTTGGTGATTTTTTTCTAATAATTTTTTTTTTTTCTGGACCTTGGTGAATTTTTGAAACTGTCAACGTTTAAATAACGCTGACAATGACAATAAACAAATGCAGTAGCCAAACAGAATGGAAGCGAAAAAAAGTCAGAAAGGAAAGTTTAATAAAAAAGCCAAACCGAAACTTTACAAAAGTCAGACACGTGCGGACGGGGGAGAAAGACCCAAAGCGATGCACGGGGAGAAATTTGGGGATAACAAAAACCAGTATATATAAATTAAAATTATATGAAAATAATACACGACAAAAAGCTTTTCTGCTGAGAAATATATTTTTGTATTTTTAGATTAATATTTAATATAATTTTTAGTAAATCATGGTTACAAATAATTATCAAATAAATAATAATATCAATAATAATAAGTCCCTTAATCAATGTAAATTTATAATAAAAATAAAAGCTCTCTTTCCAAGTGTACAAACTAGAACGGAGGCGATGAATGTTTTTTGGACTTTGACGCCAAAAAAGTTTTCAAATTTAATAACCTTAAAACAAAAAAGAGCCATGCCAACGATTTCCTTTTTGGTAACAGGGATTCTCAATTTATTTTTCTAGCTCATTGGCCCGCTGACCTGTCAATGGCATTTATCGATATCGAAACTATATCTATATCCATGTAGATAGATGCCCGGCGAACCCGACGATGTAATCATAAGAGGCGGCGCGTAGAGCGGAAAAAGTTTTCCCTCTGAAAGTTTGGACTAATAGAAAATATGGCCGGCCATTGAGTTTGGCCAAAAAGAGCAAAGTTTCCCATCTCACTTCTGGTGCTCGCCGCCATTGGGATATATTGTTCCATGTGGCCAGGGAGCTGGATCGGCGGAATCGGCTGGGGGCTTTAAAGGCGACGGACTGCCCACAATGGACCTAGGTCGCTGGCTGCTGCAGCTGGGCGTGCACATGCTTTTGGGTAAGTTAAGGTTAAAGTCCTCGTCCTTGTCCGGCTGGTCTGTCTGGGTTCTATGTATAATAATGAAAATATTTCAAACTTTTCATTTTATTGCCTTTTGCTTTTAATCCTTTGGCAAGCCGCTGCTGCAAACCTTTTTTTAACGACAAAGTCGCCAACTTTGTGGTTCACACACACACACACACAGGCACAAACGTACACAGACAACACTATGGCATAGTCATTTAGGCATTTCCGCTTCCGCTCAGCGCCTTTGTGCATTTGGCCTCTGTTTTGACCCGAACACGAAATTAGCATAGCAATAAATGTGTTTGTTTGGGTGTCGCCGCCTTTCGCCTTTCGACCCAATAGAATGTCCTGACCCGGCCTCGACCACATCAATTTATGTTAATTTTATGCCGCCGAAATTGTTTTTTAAATACACTTTTAATTATGACCCGCCCAATGAAAGGCAAAAAGAGCCGAAACGACCAGAACTTGACATCGGTATATAAAAATAATAATTTCAATTAGCTTTAATGTGTCTGGGACAGATAAGTTGAGTGTCCTTTTTGTTGCTTTCACTATTGCTGGGACAATTCATATAGAATTCTGTCCCAGCAATTCTTTACCAAGGTTAGATCCCTACTTAATTTGCATCTAGGGAAGAGTTTATAAATAGTTATTTCTTTAGCTAAGGGATAAGGTTAATAAGTATTAAAAATTAAAATTATTTGATAGATTATTGCAATCTTTAATTTGCCAAACTTTCCTAAAAGAAAATTCCATTGTTTCTGTTATTTTTAAAACATAATTTCATTTTCAACAAAGAGTTAAACTAAAACATATAATATTTCATTCACTTTCTTAAAATAGCATTTCCATTGAATCCCAATTTAACATTTTTTTGTTCAATTTATTACAATTTATTATTCAAATTTGCCATATGCTAAAGCATATTCATTACCCAAAAAGAATGTCAAACAAAACTCTGCACAGGGATCCCGTTCCCTTTCCCATTCCCTTTTTTGCTTTAACGAGTTCATGCATTGTTTGAGGAACCCCAAAAAACTGACAAGGACAAGGACATAGACACAGACATTGACAAATGCCAAGGCAGGACATTTGCATAAACCAAACATAAATGCGACAATTTCAACCCGGAGTACGCCTTAAAGGATTTACCAGCACCGAATTGCGGAGTAAGAACTGTGGCAAGAAGGAAGTCCCTCAGTCGCTATATTTTATTTGCACTTTTCTAAAATTTATAGACGCTCTTAAAATTCACTGCAAACAGTGGCGCTCTGGCTGCTGCGAAAATAAATATTTGGCTACAACGGCGGAGACAACTTTGCCTCTCTGGCCCCAAGTGCCATAAAGTTTATTTAAACAAATTGCCGATTTTATAAGTGTCTTCAATTTTAGTAAGTGTGCGTTTCCCCCCCCTCAAGCCCCCAGTTATCCTTCCACATTTATGCCCGAAGGCTGAGTAAACGATGAGATGTCTTTGCCATGTTTGCACACAAAAATTACACTTCTCTGCCTTCCCCCGGAAAATCGGGTCGGGAGTTTCGCATGTCATGTGGCCAAAAGTCTGACAAAGCCGCTTGCCAAATCTTTCGCCTGCATTCGAACTTGAAGATGAGGCTGGATTTTGGAGCCGGAATCGCAGTCGTAGGAGTCTCTCAAATCAAGTTTAAACTTTCACGCGTTTGCAGCTGCATACCAAATGGGATTTGAACGAATCTAGAAAAACAGAAGCCAAAAAACAACAGAGCCACGCATTCGGAATCAGCATCAGCTGAAGAATCTCGACAGCAGAGTTGACCACACTCAAAGAAATAGGGCACTATGAGGGGGAGATGTACTTACAAAGGATAATTAAAGAGATTTAAAGTGTGCAGACTAATTAGTTTAATTTTAATAAATATCTAAATATATTTCTAATAGAAGATATACCCCATAAAAATATATTTAAATTTTAGTTTATTAAAATAACTATATGTTAGGTAGTTTTCGTTTCCACTTATTAAATGTTAGATAATTCCCAGCACTCTTCTGACCTTTTCTCTTCAAGTGCATGTTAGTTGGCCAAGCTTTTTGTGGCCAAGTTGCCCCCGCTCGTGTTGCTCGTTTAGCAGCTCGAGCTTTCTATTTTTGTGTTTTTGTTTTTCTGTAGCTACTGCGCTTTGCTGAGATTAGCATCTTTATTTGTGTTTGTTTGCCGCAGCCCAGCCCTGAGCCAAACTAAAACAAACTCCCCCCTCGATTCAAAGTCTGGGAACTGGGAACTGGGAACTGGAACCCGAAACCCAATCTAGCACTTGTCGTTGTTGGCCCCGCATTTGTATGCAAATTATAGACGCTTGGCCCCTCGATTTTCTCTCGGATTTCCCGCCACTTTCCCGCCTTTCCTGCTCCTTGGGCTGCTTACTTTACCCTCGGTTTACTGCAGATTTGTCTGTTCGAGCGTTTATCGTTCGTCGTCGGCGGCAAAATGCTTAAAGCGGATTTCAAGGCAGCCGGGAAAATAGGAAAATAGCCAAAATACATTCTGTATATTTCTTCGAACTATTCGAATGCGGATCCGGATCCCGGGGTCGCCCATTAAAGCCACCTTCTCGGGGAGCCTTCCAAGCAGAAGAGCTTATTGAACTGCTTTTGGCCCTTGACTTTCATTAGAGCCGCCTGAGATGTCTTCTTTGTTTGCGGAGCTTCATGGCCGCAAGCTAACAGCTGCGCCAGACAGGCAAGGGGGCCTGGCCGGAGGCGGGGAAAGTGCACTGGGAGAAAATATGTGCAAGATACACCCACACACTGATAACCTATTCTATTTATGCATTTCCAAAAAATGCATACAAATATTTTAAGCTAGGGAAAGCACGATCAATCCTAAAGTTATTATTATATTTTATTTAAATAGGAAGTAGTTAAATCGAATAAAATTTCAATTTACAATTTAATATCTTTACATTTTTTATTTTTATTAAATTCTATATTGATTTCTGTTTATTATTTCCTAAATCTTCTCAGAGTGCACAGCAACAACAACGAACTGATGCGATGCTTTGACTGCTCCTCCTTGATTTCATCCTCAGTCTGAGTTCTGAGCCTCTGACTCGGAATCTTCCCAGCCAAGACTCTGGCTTTGGTCCTGCTCCTGGGCTTGGTTCTGGTTGTTAGGCAGCCAAGTTCACTCAAGTGCGTTGATTGCCGTGCAAAAAAGTTTCGTTTGTCTGTGTTTGATGTACTTATTTTTATTATTTACATACACGAGCAACACACACAAACACAGCCGCAAACAGTTGTGTCCTGTCTTTGAGTCGCGCAGGTGAAGTTTTCCATTTACTTTTCCTCTACGGCTGTCATTAAGCTGCGGTTGCCGCTGCCATTTGCGAATGTGTTTGCCATTGTCGTTGTTTTTGTTGTTATCCTTGTTGTTGCTCTTGCTGCTGCTGCTGCTGCTGCTGCTTTGACATGCTTCAAAGGACTCATGTCAGGAGACGAGAATCCGAATCAGAGAATCGGAATCACAACCAGAATCAGGCAGGCACTTTTGTCTGTTTCTTCGTTGTTTGTCTATTGAAAGTTTAAACAAGTTTTCCACGATTTCCCAGATGTTGCAGTCGTCCTGGCAAACCGAAAATAAATACCCTGCTAGTCGGAGCCTTTGGCAATGCCAACTTTTGACATCCTTGCAAGTTATTTCAACTGTAAACTGCGACAAATTAAATTCGCGAGTGTTGCATCTGCAACTGTTGCTGGTGTTGTTCGCCCCTGTTGCTGGTATTCCTGCTGCAGTTGCTCCTGTTACTGCTGCTGTTACCTAATGCGATTTGCGAAAATTATGCACAAGTTGGCATCCAGTTGACGACGAGTCCCGGATTGCTTTGCTTATCGTGCGGCTGTGAGCCTTAGTTGCCATTGCAACTTCAACTGGGCCAAGATTATGGAAATTCGCAGCGGCAACTTCGGCATTTAGCGTGGTGTAAGAAGAAACAGCAAGGCAGCGGCAGCTCCGGGACAAGCAACAACAAAGCACCGTTCCAGCTAATGATATTAACCATTTTTTCCGGCATTTTCCCTTTTTTTGCGCCCTGCCTGTTTGCACTTAAAAGCGTTCTGCAAATTGTAAAAACCAGCACGCGGTTTGGTTGCAGTTGCGCCTGCATTGTCGGTGGCAGCCCTTAGTTTGTTGTTTTTCCCAGCACTCGAGGAGATCCTGTTTGAGTTTTAGTGCCAAGCATTTCTACAAGTTCATTCAATTAGGAGTTGTGCGTCAGTCAGTCCTTGTCCTTCATCCTCCTCCTGCAATGCTTTAATACGTTTCGTTTTCGTTTTGCTTTTGACAAGTTTAAAATTCACAGCAGCAGCGATTACGAGTGTTTCTCAATTTGCAACAAGGGCGAATGAGTGATGAAACATGTCAATTATTCCTGGGAAAAGATACAATTTTAGTTAAAATAATAGGAAATGCCAGCTTTTAATCACTTTCTAAAAAATAAAATGGTAGTATTACATGAATTTAAGATGGGGAAAAATGATTAAGAAGATCTTTCCAGGCAATTCTACTTTAAAGAAAACCCGTCATTACTTTAAGCTTTAAATATTTTACGACTCATAAAACCAGCTTTAATTTACCACACAGAAAAAAGCCAATCCTTATTTTACTCAATTGAGAAAATATTGATCTGTCCAATGAACATCGAGAAGTTTTTGCCCTTATTCGAAGGAGACAGTCTGTCCCCTCTCCTATATTCAAATGATAATTTTTTATTACGCACAATCTCTGACATGAAATCGGGATTCTGGGGAACTGGTTTAATGCCTCAATTTAAGGCAGGCGACAGGCGAAATGCAAAACATTTTTATTTCGTTGCCAGTTTTTCGTATTTACTGTTTTTGGTTCAGCATTTTTATGGCATTTCTCATCATTTTATCTGACGCTTTTCATCTGGCTGCATGGGACTAACCTTCTCTCTCCCCTCTGTTCTGTTTTTCTCTCTCCCCTCGGAAAATCCCCGGCACCGACATTGCCAGTTGTGCGGCGCATTCAGTGTCTACGTGTGACTGACATCAATGTGCCACAAATTGTTGATTTTCGTGATAACGTGACATTATCCTGCAGCTATGACATAAGTGGTCACACGTTAAATTCGGTTAAGTGGTACAAAAACGGAAAGGAGTTTTTTAGGTAAGTACGAATATTGCCGCATCAGATGGATTATGTATACATAAATATTATATATATACTAGGGGTTGGGTGTTATGTGTTACACACTATGCGTTATGGTTATATATTAAACGAAAACCTGAACAGAATCAAAATTTATTAACTTTTAAACGATATATAAAAGAAGAAAATAAATAAAGATATATTTTATATTATCACATATCATTGGTATTTTTAAAACCTTGAATAAAGAATGAAAAATGCAAAGAAGCTCTGTTAAATTTTGATAAATTACCTCATTATCCTCTTAACAATTATCGAATAATTAAAAACTAATCCAGTTAATGCTAAATACAGTTTATTAGCTGCCAATTATTTATGAAATTAGTGCAAAATATGTACTGTTTCATCGTCCCACACGGAGACCTGATAGCTCTGAGGCTCTTAGCCCACTGTCGCTGACCATAATTTATGATATTTATTTCAACACGCAGCTGTCAGATGCACGGAAATCTGGGCCACGGGCCCCTGCTGCTGACCCCTGACCTCCTCTGAGCCCGGAGTGCACACACACGCACTCGCACACAAATATGTTCTGTGTCGGCCGACTTTCTTGCTCAATTAATTATTAAATAAATTAATTTGTGTTGGCAAATTAATTTAAATGTTTGACCAAAGCTTCGAGCCCTACAACCAGCCCGCACACACACAAGAGCCGACTCTGTTAAGCGGCATTTATTATTTATGCACACATCGTTTGCAGCGGGACAAGCAACGAATTAATTGCCCAAAAGAGCACATATTTCGGCAGGCCGTACCAAATATGATGATTAAAAGACCATTTGACCCCAACAAGTGGCTGGGATGACACTCCATTATTGTTAGGACTTTCCAGCTAGGATGATGTGTGTGTGTGTGTTTGTGTAATGAAAAATCTCGAGTGGCTGCCTCGCGTTTTGCTTAATTAAAACTGAGCAGGGACATGCGAATATATGAACTGCCGCACGGAGAAAAGCTGCGAGAAAAAGGGGAAACTCACTGAGAAACTCAGTGAGAAACGAGACAGTTAGCCGGTCTCATGGGGCGAGCGAAAGTTTTAATTAGACAGCAGCACGTAAAAGTCAACTGGAGGCAAATTGCAATTGCAATTCCACTTGCACTTGCCAGCCGAATGCAAATTAAGGCAAGCACACAGATACAGAAGAGCAGAAAGAGCGCCAGAAGTTCGCAAATGGCTGGCAATATTTTTCTTCCCTTTGAGTTTCTCGGCAACTAATTGCCAATTTTCAAGGATTTTTAAGTTGCAACACAAACGGCAAGCCAATTACATACTTGAACCTTAAAGTATATTTATTATATATTTTAAATTTTATTAAATAATAAAGCCATGTCGCTACAGCAACCTTGGTAAAATAAACTTAACGTGTATTCTAGTTGCCAGTTTTTCTTCTCTTTATTTATTCTTTGTGTGGAAGGACAAACAGAACCCAAGCACTGGGAGATGCTCTGGCATTATTCTGTCCCAAACAAATCCCCTTGTAACGAGCATCGGACGGCGGCGGTTGCCGTTTATATTGCTTATCAAATTTGTTGATTTGCTGCCGCAGTTACCGCCTAAGCCGCAAATAATGCGAAATCGGGCCCAGACCCGCCCCCTTCTCTATCATGGCTATTAACAAGTAGCGCTCGAAGGCGACTTATCAACACTACAGCAGCGCACAGAAGTAGGCAACGATTTTTCTGCTTTAGCCAGGATTTTATTTATGGGGTTTTCGGAGAGTGCGGAGAGGGGAAAAGCCACTTGACATCTGTGTGAGTATGGGTGTTCGGGTGCGTGTGCCGGACAAGTTTTCCACTCGAACACTTTTTGTTGTGGATTCCGCTTTTTACATGTTTTTTTTAGGCATTTGTGGGATTAATGAGCATCAATCCACAATACAAAACAAATTAAAGGGGCTGCCCTCGGCTCTTAGCCACTTTACCCCCTTTCTCTGTTGATTTTCCCGGCTTCTGCCCCACTCAACCCCATTTCTCCACACGTCGAACCCACATCGGCAATCAGTTAAGGTTGAGTGCATGTAAGCCACTTGTCTGCGAGTGGCGAAAAAGAGAAACGATTCCTCCATTTCCTGGCCAGTTTGCGTTGATGGCTTTGAAAGCTTTTAACCCAAGCCTACGACACACATCTGCAGATTATCAGTTGGCTTTCCAAAGGACGAGGGCTGGGAGTCCTTTGCAATTTGCGGCCACTTTGCCAGCTCATCTGCACCGTCACTGTGAAGTGAGGCTATTTTTTACCCGCCTTTTGGGATGTTTTTTAAAGTGCAAATAGGAAAGGTTTATTTTGTTTCAAAGCTGCAATGTATCGATAATGTATTTTGAGAAGGAAAGCCTGCAAACAATCTTACAATATATTAGGCATTTATTACCACAAAACAGTATGAATATTATCTTATGTTTTTATTTGTTGTATCACCTCTTACCCCGCAGGTACTCGCCCCTCACCCCGCCCACATATATACCCTTTGCCGTGGAGGGCGTGCAGCTGATCGATGACGGAAACGAGTGCAACGAGTCCTCCTGTCGCGTGGAGCTCAATTTATTGGGCGTCAAGTCGTCGGGCGTCTACAGGTGCGAGGTGTCCGGCGATGCGCCCCACTTCCAGCTAACTGCACGCGATGCCAACATGAGCGTTGAGGGTGAGTTCCAAGGGGATCCATAGAGATGGAGATGCTCCTCCTGGTAAGGGGAGTGCTTGAGAAATGAAATGCAATTGCAATTGTTAGTCTTAAATTAACGAGAGTGGGGCCAGCACGTAAGACGAGCGCCCACAACATGCACGTGCTTTAAAATTATCTCTGAGTAATGCAAATGCCGAAAGGCACTGAACAAAATTAAAGATAGATATTTTCTTCAGTCTTAAAATCCCAAATAGAAAACTCTATTGTATTGTTGTTTTTTTATTTGTATATAGGCAATTTCTAGAGAAAAATGATCTCATTTAGGTTCATACAAAACCAAGTAGCTTACGATTTTCTCGCTGTGCCTCCACTACACACTCCTCGTTACCTTTACTGCGTTCGCGCTATTCCCAGCGTGTTGCCTTTGCCGCTGCACAGCATAAACAGAGTAAAATGTGTAATTTCCGTGATATTTTAATAGTAAACAACGGGGGGAAGAAAACTGCAAGGAGCATGCAGAGCCGTTTGCATATATGACGAGCTGGCAAAGTGGCTGGGGGCCAGGAGGCGGTGGGTGGTGTTGCAAACGCACAGGATAAGCTGTTCGAGGCAGGCAGCCAGGCAGCCAGCCAGGCATTCAGGATGTGCTCGCGAGAGGAACAGTGCGCGTTCATAAAATGTAGCCAAGAGATGCATGTGATTCGCATCCGTACACACACACACACCCACATAAACTGAGAAACAGATACAGCTACAGCTATAGCTGCGGCACCCTTCCTGCCGCTCCTTTTCGTGGGTGTGAGTGTGTGCGGCTCTGTGATTTACGGCAGCACTTTATGCTTAAAAAGGATATCGCTAAAATGAAAAGCTCCGCCACTGCCAGCGCCAGTGTCTGTGTTGCTCCGCTTTCCCAGCATGTGCGTGTTTGTTGCCTTCGTTCTCTTATTTTCGCTTTTACTTTTGCCCCACAGGATGTTTCTCTGCATGTGTTTTATGATCATCTATTTTTCCGCTGATATAAAATAAATATCTTGTAGATGCGGGGCAGCCGTAGTCATGCCTCTGGCTCTGCTGTTCCTACTGTTGTTAAAATATTTTTAAAAATTGATCAAAAGCAAATAGAGAACTTGAGGGGGTTCGGGGAGGCTGGCAGAGTAACACAAACAAAAGATGCGGGAGCAGGAGCATAAACATTGGCGAAAAAGGTGCGCCATTTGCATGTGTAATGTGCGTTTAAAATTAGCTAAGGACGAAACTGGGATGCACTCAGCCGGGGCAAGAGTCATCTGTCTCTCCGAGAAAAATCTGTTTTTTTTTGCGATTTGTATTTATAATGCAAAAGCAAGTACTTGCTCGTAGCTTTGTTTTGGATAGTTACTCTTAAATCTCTTCAGTAACTGGGAGAAGACTAGGGCACAATTTTCACAGTAGCTTTTATAAATAAATTTATATTTAAAAAGTAAATACAACTTTGTAATTTCAGCTCTTCCCCAGAACAATCCACTTATCAGCAGCTTCCACTCGATGTATCACTTCGATGACTTTGTGCAAGTTAACTGCAGCACCGACTTCTCCAGTCTGTTTACCAGAATCACCTGGTACATCAATGGGATAAAGGTGGATACAATTACTCCATTATTTATATACAAGCTTTAATTTACTCTAATATCTTGCAGGTTTCCTTGGTTGACCTGCTGCCTAGCATTGAGACCACGATTGCCGCCCACGAATATAACATGCGTCGCATTGTCTCCCAGCTGAACTTTTATGCCAACGATCCGCGCTTCCATCAATTGCAGCTTCAGAAAATAAATCAGCAAAAGAGATCCTTCTTCCCAAACAGGCTAGGCCTGGAGCTGCGCTGCGTGGCGGAAGTAGATCGATATCCGCATCTGCAGCGCGAGGCAACCATGTTTGCCCAGGTTTTCCGGGATGACATCGACCTGAAGAACCAGAAGCTGACCAACTCACGATCAGGTGGGTCAATAATATAAGCTTAAAATTGGTCTTCTTAAGGAATTAAATTTAAAAGTCACAAAAAACTGAAATTTTAGTAGACATATACAAGTTTTTTATTTTCAAAAATAATGTTTTTAAAATGTATTTAATTAATCATTATTACTAAAATGTTAAAGAAACCCGTTCACGTTGCGGCTCATTAAATCTATGCAAATTTAAAACTTGTAGCTACCAAAGTGTTGCACTTCCCCACTTTCCCACCACTACTTCTGCCCTTAATGCACTTGACCGCAATGTCGCCGGCCGCTAATTAAAAATAAATACGTTTCCATGCCGACTGACAGTCCGTTCGTGGTCGCGTATTTGGACAATTTTTAACGCAAATTAATAAAAGTGTGACCTCTGCTCTTCCTCTCTCCCCTGGCAGTTGGCAGCCAAAGGGCACAAGTGCAGCATCTGCCCACGACGATGGCGTTGACGATGGCTGCCGCGATGACCGCAGTGCGACTCTTCACACCGCTGACATTCCAATATGGCGCACGGAAGTCGGCGCGCTGCAAAATGGCGGCCGCAGCATAAATGAACTCTCTGTTGTTTCCGGTTTTGATTGCGTTTGTTAAACCATTTTTATAGCTCTAAGCAACTGAAATGCACGTGAGAATTTACAAAAGAATCTATGTAAAATGTATATGTATAATTGTACGATAATTAAATGTCACTGATAATATATATATATGGAATTAAGTATAGTCTAGGGCAGCGAGCGAGTCCTGTAAATAGCCTTTAAGTGTGTAATGCAATTATAAGAACACAATGAAATCATCATCAATAAACAAGCAACCGAACACGAATGGCATCGCATATTCTGATTTCTTTCGGGTCCATGGGCCACGCCCCCCAACTCTGCAACGCCCCTGCATGCTATCAGACAACCGCAAAAGTGCCGTTAAATATGCTGTTGGGCTCCCTTTTTCTGGTTCGCATTGCGCTTTATTGTTTCACTTATTTTTGTTGTATGTATGTGTTTTTTTGAGACCCATGCCTCGCATGCCTTTGGCCACGGCAGATATGTGTACCACGCCCACAGAGGCATTCGGCCCCTCCCAACCCGCAAAACGAAACGTTCGTCTCGTTTCCATTTCGCTTTTAAATCGAATTCAATGAATTCGATTGCAATACCCCCCTTGCATACGCAAGTTTGTGGCACTGAAAGCGCCAGCTCTCAGCATCAGAGGGCCTGGTTGCCAAGTGCCGACACTGTCCAACAAAGTTGGGCCCCTGGGCTTTTAATGGAGAGTACATTGAGCTCAAAAGCCTAATTGATGTGACGTAAATATAGAATTTAACAAGTCACAATTCCATTCAATTGTAATTTATTTGAAATATAATTATCTTTGTGTCTTAAAAAAAATAGTAAACAAAAAATTATTTTTAAATTGAATAATTTAAATATCATCATAATTAACTATATATTTATTACTTGACTTTAACTATATTTATAGAAAATACCAGGCAATTATTTTAATTTTTATGCTTAGTATTTATATTAGTTTTTTTTTCTTGATTTTTCATGTGTTGCTTGTGGCTTAATTAAAAAGTATACACATAGGAACTCCTTCGTTCTTTTTCCCTCTTAAAGTTATTTTTATTTATTTTTTTCAGTTTTAATTTTCGTTGATTTATTAAAAACTCCAACCCCTGCAAGCTGACTGTTCCCTGTTTTTACGTCTATAATGCCCAGCATCGACGTGCAGTGATCAACGAGGCGTAGCACCCTCTGTCCATATCCGTATCCCTTTCGGATAGAGCCCCTCTGTCTGTTTGTCTTTGTGTCCGTGTCGGCTTACCCCATCATCATCCACTGTCTGGCAGCTATGATTGGCTCTGGCCAACAGAGATTGTTCTAGCGGACAAGGAGCTATGGAAATCCGTGCTTTTTCTGACTTTAACACCCAAGAAATGAACTATCTTTAAAACTTTACAAATAAAATAAAAAAGAAACCTCCTGCTTGAAAGTGATGTTTCAATCAATTAAATGATATTTTCAAGGGCATTCCTTATGCTCCTTTTACTGAATCCTTAAGATTTCATTTATCAGGAGTATATTTATGGCTTAAGGTACCTTTTCGTATTAAAACATCCCAGCGGGAACAGGGTCTCCATGCTCTCCGATATAAAAATGAGGGATCAAAGTGGCCCGGGCCAAGAACGGTAGCTACAGCAACAAAAGCATGCTGGATAAAAAGACTATTAAGCGATAATTTATTTGTAATCTGCGTCGTGGACGGACGGTCCTTCAGCATCCTGCATCCGAGTCCCAAGAACCAAGAACCACTGCACTCGTGCACAGAAAAATAAAAGCATATTTTGCAAATTTAGTTCTGTTTTAATTTCTTATGACTTTGATAGGAAACAGTAAGAAAGATGCTATATTTCCTTAATTAAAAAATACTATCAATTTCAATACAATACTTTAGCACACTAGGAACTCGATCTAGAGTGTCCTTTACCCTGATATACACAAAATATCTCATTTTTCTTCCTGTGTAAAAGGGACGAAGACGCCGACGGAAGAAAGGATGCCGCTCATCTCAGGGGGCAATAAAGCGACGCCAGCAGCAGGAGCACAATCCTGGCAATGGCCCAGGCAAATATTTAAAGGCGCTAAGACGGCAGCAGAAAATGCGGGGAGAGGCAAAGTGTAAAGCGCGTAGGGTCGAGGAAAGACTCCGACTCCGAAAGAGGGGTTCCCCAACACTGCGGACAGCCGAGCTTTAAAGGCAGAGCAAATTAAATGATTTTGCCAGCTGGCTTAAATAACAACAAATGCCAATTACGATTGCTTTAATGGGCAAGTAACAGTAACGCAGACAGCAGCGAGAGGGGAGGGGCGGACAAACGGACGTCGGATTGAGGGAAATGGTCACAGAATGCACTTGCTGCTCCAGAAAACCGCAAGGATTAAGTAATTTCTGCCAGACATGCAGCAGCCGCAATCGCCAAATGAACACAAAAACTTTGGCCCACATTTGGGCCAGCGAAAGGGACGGCTATACGGCTGGGTGACAGAGGAGGAGGAGGGCCGCACACAGAGGGAATGGCAAAGGACTCTGGCACTCTAATGCACTCGTGTGTGCAATAAATTGGCATATCCTTGCTAGCTCACACACACCACACCAAACACACGCACAGAGCACGAGCGATGCCGGGCGTAAGAGCAGAGAAAGAAATTAAGCTCGATTGTTATCCAATATCCTTTGGGATAGGTCAGTAATCGAAAAACCGGTTAGATAAAACGCGAAAGGATATTTTTTGTTTCTAAATGAAGGACTTAACATGACACCAAAGCTATTAAGAACCTTTTTGAATTGTAAAATAAGTATGGAAAACTTAAAAATATATATTGAGCTTAGTGAGGAATAATCTAGCTGTATCCTTATTGAAGATCCAAAAGTGCTTTAAACATTTTTTGGACTTTGAGTCTATCCGACATAATTTAGATCAAAGTCTTAAAAATTCAACTTTTTCTGATATGGCCAGGGACTTATTCAGTTTAGCATTGTTGATGAACTTCAAAATTCGACGTGATTTCTACGTTTTTAGCTAGAACCCGTTGGGAATTCTAATGCAGCGAAAGCGGTAAGTACACCCATGCTGATGGAGCTCTTTATACGCTTTGGAATTTGTTCCACTTTAGAAATACCCGAAAAAATATATATACAAAATGGTAATTTTATATAAGATAATTAAAACCTATACTTTAAAAATACTTATACAAGGTATTTTTCCTCGGTGCACTCGCAGACAAACACAGCTGGTGGACACACACACACACACAATGAGTTTTGCGTGTGCAGAGGCTGCTGTATTATGCACAGGATGCGCATAAGAATGAAAATCCTTTTGCACTTAATGGCAACACGGAAAAAGGCAGCAGCAGCAGGAGCAGCAGCATCCATATTCCCCCTTTCCTCTCTCCCACTTTACTCTCTCTCTTTCCCGCTTCCTCTCTTTGCTGCTTTTCGGGTAATATTATTTTGTGCAAAATTTCTTATTTCACCGTGGAAACTCATAAAATGCGCCCGGGTCTCCTTTGTGGACCCGATGAGCTGCTGGCGGCCAGCAAACGACGAGCGTCCAGCGAACTGCATCTCCTGCTGCTTAACCACTTTGAAGGCCATTAATTTGCAATGACCGTGACGGTGGACGGAGCAAGGGGAAAGGCTGTCCCGCGATGGCCAGCGAAGCATATTGGCACATCCTGGCTGGCTTCTTGTCTGGCTTGCTCCACTTTGCGAGCTTTGCACATTTATTGTTTCTAATGCATTTATTAAAACACAACGAAGAGGGGTAAATAGAGCGCAGCGGGGGAAAGCCCGCTGAAAATTCCAGGGCCAACATGAAAATTAAGCGAACTTAAGAAAAACGAGTAGCAAAATAACATCCATCGAGAGTCGATATGCCCTGCATCAAAGTGCAAGACATACGGCCATTATTTATTTAAGACCCGCACAGACACACACACACACGAGAGTTTCCTTTTTGCAGCAATTGGGCCCGGCAGGACGAGAAGGAAAGATGCCGAGACGCTGAGATGCTGAGATACTGAGGCACTCGGATGCTGAGATTGCACGCAATCTGCTTTGGCAGCACATTTCTTTAGCCAGCGCGAGTGCAGCTAATGAAGCCTGGTGTGTCCTTGTGGCGGGATGCACGAAATCTATCTAAATATTCCCGATTCCTAACTCAGCCAAAGTGATTAAGTGCAGCAGCGGGCTTTTTCCCCAGGGGAGTGTCAGGGAAAAAAATGGGGAAAAAGAAAAGGTGCAAAAAACAAAAAGTGTAGTCCTAAAAAATCAACACCAACCTTTGCCAGCTAAATGTAATGTGAAAAGCACTTGAAATAAATATGAAAAGTATTAAATGGTTTTAGTTTTCAGTTTTATTTGTTAATTTTTTAAAATTTATAATGCTTTTGCATTATTTTAAATAATACCTAGATGTTATTCAGCATATCTCAAGGCTGGTCTGAATTGTAAAGTATATATATTTTTCCCCAGTGAAAAAATCCTACAGAAACCTTGAATTGACTTTATCCGCTTTGCGCTCAGCTGTTGTCCTGGCGGATCCCGGCCATTGCCGGCCATCGGACACAACGTCGGACTTCCGTCGACGCCTGGCAACCGCAATTGAAATGTTTTCGTGGCGGCAACTAAAAATTGTCATCGGGATTTCATTACCTGCGGCCAAGTTGGCTTCTCGACTGCGTTTATTAAAGACGCCAAGACACCCACTCACCCACCCGTAGGCAGTTGGCATTGGGGCTTAATTAAGTTTGTGCCACTCCCGTTCTTTCCCCTCCCCCACTGCTTCCCAGCACAGTCAGTTGCACAGCGCAAATCCCTTTATCAACTGAAAATGGCGTGAAAAAAATGCAATTAGTGTTGCACTCACTACCCACGCCCTGCGTTTAATTGCGAGACCGCGTTGAATTAAATCATGTTCAGGGCGTCGTCTTAAAGTCCTTTCAGATAAACCCAGCGGATGGTGGCGGCCAAAAGGTTCCACCTAACAACAACAACAACAAGAACAACAACAAACCACAGTGGGGGGAAATGGGAAAATGCATAAGAAAGTAAGCAGCGAATGGAAAACACAGAAAGGAAGAAGTCGGAGAAAGTGGTAAGAGATTTGTAGACTGCATTTTTAATTACACTAAAAGCAACTCAGCAGCAGGAGAAGCTGAGTAAATGACTGCTCCTTTGGTTTTTTCCCTTTCGGATAATTTTTCAGAGCTCTCTCCTCATCATTGGAAGGATCCTTTCATTTGCAGTCCAT